CGCCACTGGGAGGGAGTGAAGACAGCACCACCAGGTGCCTGTCACCCGCCGCCCTTCACCCGCATCTCATCGCCCACAACCCACCGCCAGGAGCAGGCCGGGTTAAGGACCCTTACGGGCCGGATGTGGCCCGCGGGCCGTAGTTTGAGGACCCCTGCCTTAAATGATGTTTCTCAATCCGATCTTCTTTCCTGTCCTTTTCATCTGTCCCTCCAGCGGGTCTCCGATCCAGCGCTGACTCCTCTGTTCTTGCTGGGACTTCTAGTCCCACGGTGTCTGCATGCGGGTGCACGCATCCATAGACTTACCTTGTGTCTCTCCTCGTCTCCCGGCCCAAAATGTGAACTGTGCATGCGCCCGCCCCAAGATGCTTTGAGGCCGGCCGAGAATTTTCACATTTTCGGACGGGAGCGCGCGGGGAAGACACAGGTAAGTATTAACCCTTTTCAAAGTGTTTTTTATACACTTTTTGCATATATCTACTGCTTGGTAGCAAAAAAAACGGAGGGTTTAATAAGCCAGTTTAAGGAAACAAAGTGCACTCTAAAATGTAAATTATTTATGTTTTTATAATGATTTTTTTACTGTCAATTTTCAATGTGTGTACTCCTTTCAACTACAATACTTGTAAGCTTTAAAAAAGATGTACCAAAGGAATAGGTCGTCATGTGCTTTGCCATCCATTATGATCAGCTCCTGCCACTGGTATTGATATAATATAGTTATGAAATAATGAAATGTATGAATAATGTAATGGATTAACGGTTTAGAGCAGATACACCATGTAGGGACCTAGTACTTCCTCGGGTCCTACCTGCTGAACCCAGTTGTTCCCAGCTAACAAGAGGCCATTTTTGGCACAACAGGTCCAGAATATTTAAATAGACCCTTTTAGAAATGTTTTGTAATGACAATCTACAAACAGATACTTATAGATTAATTGCAGGAATTTTATTTTCCTCCCCATTCTTCTCACAGTGGCAATTTTACTAAGGGCAGCTTAATCCATCCCCTTTACTTCCTGGAACTAGGACATGTGACCATGCACATCATCTCAAGGGTAACATGCCCTTCCCTGAGATCTTGCAACTTACTAAATGAGATTTCGCAGCCATGCACTGCTGATGTAACATTCCCAGGATGCATCTCTTAGGCACGGGCTTCATCGCTAATGCCTAAGAGGATCAGGAAGTGTTAAAATAGTAATTGCAAGTAAAAGAAAAAGGTTTACTTAACTAAGGAATGTAAGATGACTTCATATCAGCATGCAGAGTGACTTTTAGTGAAAGGGGGTAAAGGTCCACTTTAAGAAGGGGTCTCTCTAACCTTTAGGAGCATTTTTTAAGGCTCCACAGCACCCTTAAAAAGACCTCAACTTACAACAATGATGAAAACTGCAAGAGTTGAATCCACTCTATATTCCATGAGAAAAAGCTTGTTAATAATACATTTTAATTGATTTAATAGATATACATTTTTTTTTTCAATCCCACAATGCTGAATCACCACACCGGCAAATGATCCCTCTATACAACATGCAGTGAATCAAAGGAACAGCATCCCAAGGAAATAGCATTGATATGGTACCACCGAGGATTGTGGCTTCCAGCAGTAAAGTATCTGCAAAGAAACAAAATGCAAACAGAATAATATTGATTTTTAGGGTTTATATAATTGCAAAGGAACATTCATATATAAAACTAATACCAAAAGTATTTGCTCAATTTCAGAAATATACTCTTTTCTAATTATGTATCTAAACTGTAACAACTATGCCATTGTGTATTATCAAAAAGATGCATTTGGGAATACTCACAACCATCTACTTTTTTTTTATGCAATATTAAAATTGAGGGCGCATTTCACAAAAAAAAGTTCTTTAGCTGGAGTTTTAATAAAAATGAATATTCTTTTTAGAGTTCTTTTGCGGTGTTGTGAAACAACAAAAGCATTTCAACAGTGCTTTGTGCTACTCTTAAGTTGCAAAATAATAAAAACAAAAACATTGGATTTCGATTTGATTTTGCCAGTAACTTCACTGTAGTTTACACAATTAACTTTCAGTGATAACGGTTTGTTTACACACAGCTATTTAGTACAGTCAGCAAGCAGTGTGCACAGAATGTGCATGTAAACATGGCATGTAGTTCTAGCTTGAAAGGAAAACTATAATGATTGTATGTCACTCGCTTCATTTTATGTGCAACTCAAGCGTTAACTTTCTTTTTAGGATAAAAAGTAGAAGTGTTTGAACCCTTGTCAGGTTTCTAATGCTGACAAATCCACCTCTGACAGCAGATTTACACTCTACATCCCCCCAACCCCTACATTTTTAGATTCCCCCTCACTTTGTCTACCAGTTATAATGGTTCCCAGGACAAATAGTGTATTTTTCTCCAACTGTGAGGCAGACAATAAAAACCTAACAGAGGTTCTAACCCTCTATTCAAAACTAGCGAGAATTAGGGCTGGAGCCATACATTAAGTCTATCTTAAATTGTATCTATGCACACACATCATTTGTTTTTTTTTAACAAACTTTTAATACATGACAGATGATTTTCAGAGCACTCTAGGTTTTCTTCTAGTGTGCACAGCAGCATCTCCCTCTTTTTAGGCCGGTCCTGCCTGGCTGGCTGTAAACCTCGTAGAGGGACATCTGATAAGGGAGCAGTCACTCCTGGTTTATTCACTGTTATGTCAATTTTAGCTTGAGCCAAAACCATTTTTTACAACAACAAAAAAAACAAAAAAAGAAGAAGCCGAGAGCTACACCTGCTGGCAGGACAAAAGACTGTAATATACATATACAATATCTCAGTGTTTCCTGCCCGAAGATTTTTTTTTTTCTTTTAACAAGGCCAAAAAAAAAAACATGTATAAAACTACATTCCCTATAAAGCATTTCTTATTAAATGAGGTTGAGGACTCCAATGTAGGTACCTTTCAGTCGTCATCGTCATCATCCTCTGGAACAAAAATGTCATGCTCTTCTAATAGAGCAGCAAAGTTTTTGCTGATGAGTGTTCCTATATATAAAAATGGGACAACTACAGTGAAGACTCTGAGCAAGCCAAAACTTACCTAGAAAAAAAAACAAAAATGGTTATTAGGTCATCAAAAGAAACTAAACACCAACTTCTAAAAGTCATGTTTGAACAGATAGAAGAAAGTAGTGATGACATATAATCAAAAACTTTAAAAATATTTGTCTCACTGTCTGTATGACGGTTGTACAACACAACAATCACAAACTTTAAAGTATGTTTATAAAACATAAATTTTGTGTGATTGTTTAGAAATAGAGGAGTAGATAGTTCCCAGTGACTAATTTTTCTGCTATGCTCCAAAATCAAGGTGGATTTTTACGGGAATGCTCACAGGTTCTGCCATTTTATAGTCGACTATTGAAACATCAGTAAACTCCACTAAAGGATTAAACTGTTTCCATTAAACAGTTTGGGCTTCCTTTTTTTTTTTAAATGCCTAATGATTGTCTACCTGCCTTGGGCTTTTCTGAGCTGACCTGAACAAAGAAAACTCTAAATCAGATTACATAGGAACTGAGAGTTTGAATGCACTTGTTTAGGAGGAAGTAAGAACAATCAGATGGCTGGTGGCAGAGCAAGACAAAAGGCAGCCATGACTTTAGGTCTCGTTCACACCTAGGCGTATTGCATATGCGCGACCATCGCGTGTTTTTTTACCGCGATTCGCAGTAAAAAAGTCACGCAACAAACTCGCGTTTCCGAAGGCTACTTGGCTGTATCCCAATGGAAACGCGCAACAAAACGGGCCAAAGTAGTACCTGTACCTTTTCAGGAGTGGGCCGTTTTGTAGCGCGTTAGGGACGGGCGGAAATACGCCAAGGTGGGAACGAGACCATTGAATACAATGGGATTTATATTTTTGAGCGTTTTGTAGAGCGTTCGTCGAGCGTAGAACGCGCTACAAAACGTTCAGGTGTGAACGAGGGCTTACTGGAAGCATGCACTGAACAATACATAAACCATTAGAATTCTGCACCTGTCCCCAGACTATGGACATTAAAAGTGTTTTCATATAGTTAAAGAGTACTATGGAGTAAGTGTTTTTCCCCATAGTTCCCCTAAAGGTCCCGGGAGGACATATAATAGCCTCCTCCCATGACCCAAAGCTCAGTATATCGCGAGCTACAGCTCCCAATATACTGAGACCGCCGCAGCCGGGACGGATCCCGACATTACTGTCGAGATCCACCCAGCTGCGCGAGTGACAGCTGGCTCTGCCTATCTAGAGGCAGAGCCAGCTGAACCCGCCCCTCCCCCGTCCGTTCAGCCAGTCAGAGCTGGGGGATCGGAGCGGGGAGAATCCCTGAAGGGAGCTGTGAGTGACAGCCACGGCTCTCTACAGGGAGATGATCGAGAAGTGAGCGAGCGACGGTATGTGTTCTCTTATTTCACGATCTATTGAGCCGACGTGTGACAGTTTCATTGTCACACGTTGGCTCGAACTATGAGGTTGAGTGAAAATCACTCACCTCATAGTTCTCCTTTAACAAGCAGTAAAAGAGCTTTAAAACAAAGTCACCTCTGGTCTGTCTAGCTGCATGTAGCATGAAGCAAGTCATTCTCAAAGATCATAAAGACTATAAAGTCGCTTCCAGTCCATTTCTAACAGTGCTTGGCCCATGCACACAAGATGCAGTGATTGATGTTTTTAGGCAACTGAGCACCACTAGGGCACATAGAAAGCAATTGTTTTCACCACAATGCAGGTGTGATCTGTGGAGCAAACAAATGCAGACATTTTATCATAGCACACAGTAGTGCAGGGACCTGAATGGAGTGTACGGTTTGTACACAGCAAATACAGTAAGAAATAAATACATTTAAAACCGTCACAACTCACTAGTCCACCTGCTAACATTCAGCTTTAGTAGACAGGCTGTTGTGAATGGGCCCTTACAAACACTTGCTGTGCATTGACAGAGAACTGACAGGCTGCCAAGATTCTGCAGAAATAGTAAGTCCCCTTTCACATGCACCCGTCTACTTGGCTCAGCAGGGAATTTGTGCTGATGGCAGCAGTACAGAATGGGTATCACTTTTGTGACATCTGTGTTCATTCAGTTTTTAGTGAACAAAACAGACCCGTGTTAGATCTATGCGCAGGAAAATGTAAACGAACATTACCTCCAATCTGTTTTTGCCTAGACAGTCTTGGATCACACCTGCATTGCAGTGTGAGCAGGGCCCATAGGAAACATTTATTTTCTGTGTGGCCCTTGCAGAGAGCTGCACTTTTCTATTAGGGAATATTCACACCATGTCCATTGAACTGTGTTATTCTGCACACATTCTGATTTCAATGGGGTCATATCCACACAGCAAAAAAGCTCATGCACCTTTGTGGCGATGAGCGACCCCAGGTTTTTTGCGGCCACATTTGTGCAAGCCTGCATCTGCAGAAACGCTCCGCAAAACCAAGCGGATTGCTAGCCACAATTGGGGTGCCATTATAAATTAATGGCACCGCAAGCGCGGTTTGCATTAGAACACGTTTCCGCGATCGTGCACCAAACCGTGTGGATCGCCGCGCAATCTCAGACCGCTCAGATGTGAACCAGGCCTAAAAATACCAACATGCGGCAAAGAATCCATAGATTCCTGTGACTGGGATCATAGATCATTGCGGCCTCTCAGTGTGTACATTGCAATGACAGATATCGCAGCTGTCCGCATGTATCCGCACAACCCGGGGTTCGCCTGTGCTTCAAGCCAACCCTGGATGCAATGTGTCTGCATCCATGACTAGACATCTGTCCCTAACTAACCACTGGAAGTACAGATACATGTGAACTGAGGTGGACAGCCACAGCTCCTTTCAGCCTGTCATTGCATTGTGGTCCCTCAGCCTGTATACAGCAATGTCAGGCTGGAAGGAGCCATGGCTGTCATCAGCCAGCAGTGATAACAAGTGCATAAATTTGCAGATCCTTGCTGCATGATGGCACTTCTAGCTCGTGTGCATGAGGCCTACATGCCAGTAATAACTGTTGACCTTTCCCTCATAGCAGACATGCCAGGGGCCTTTACCATCATGGATGAAGGTTCCAGCAAGAGAGAGATTATATATGAAAACAACCTGAGCTCCAAAAGAGATTTTTGTTTATGACCCTCTACAGGCAATCTTCATCATACTGAATATGAGCACACAAGTCCTTACAATGATCCCAAAGACAGGCACCTTTTGCTATACAGACTTACTTTCTCCGGTTTGGGATAAATAGCCCCTGTGTTTGTTGTGACAGCAGTCCGGCGAGGTACACCAATGACCATCGTAGGCTTCCCCGGGGCTCTCAGGAGTCCTCCTACCCTGGCCGCAAGCCGTGCTGAGTAAACCCCAATGCTGGCCGCCATTATCCCCAAACCAAGCCAACACCTTCAGGTGAAAGAGGAAAACCAGGGTGATGTCACGGCCACCCAACCAAAGCTAACATCACCGCGTCACGTGACAGCCCGGAAAGGCCATCTAGCCTTAATAGTAGAAGCCAGTCACACTCTGTATACATTACGTAAGGACGTGAGCGCCCTCTAGTGCCCACAACCCCAGGTCTCACCAACGTGCGGCTGAACCAAATCGGTTTTTAATTGGCTGATCGAGCTGTCACTTAGACGATTGCATCATGCTGCTTTTTCGGGGAAAGACCCGTATGATTTCGCAACAATCCTTTGTGCGGGGCGCTTAGTGTCACACAACGTATTGACGGCGGAGGAAAACGATCACCCACAGAGGTGTCAAAAGAAGGTTATCGTGGAGGGGGAGGAAAAGGACTTCCTTCCCCAGGCAGCAGAGGGCTCGTCTTACTAAGGTATCGTAGTGTTTATAACGCTGGCTGGCTTCAGGGTTGGGCTACGTGGAAGTCGGAGGGGGTATCTGTGAGCTAAACTCTGAACTTGGGGTCCCGTTGAATGCTGGGATCGGGATAGGCACAGGCCCCTGTTCCCCGGTGTGATGGAATCAGGTGGCAGCACTTCATAGGATCATCATAGGCGCTGGGAGCTCAAGGAAACGTTGGCAGAGTCAGGGATCGCTCATGGAAAGTGCGATGTACTATTGACGGAAGTTCCCAGCTGTAGAGAAAAATTCACACTTCTTCAAAACTTTCCAGCACACTACTTTGTGAATGTTAGGGTCTTTTCACACGAGTGCCATCTGCACCGCCATAAGAATGGATGACAGAATACGGATAGGAACTAAGAACGTTTACATCTGGTCGCACATCAGTCTTCCGTTCACTACAGTTCCGTATACATCCGTTTTTGGTATCCGTTAACATCCGTTTTTTTACCTTGTCCGTTTATTTAAATAAAGTTGATGGACCTTCACTTTCTATGCAAAAACAGACGTATACGAATGACATGTAAGCGTCAAACGGATATAAACCTATTCCGTTTCTTTTGAAAGTGATCCTCCAACTTGAAATGAAAGTTTGAACCATTATAACCCTTCTCTCACCCCTTTCAACAAAAGCTTTTTTCACATTTTTAAAATTGATTTGTATTACTTTTACATGGCCATGTCCCCCATTGTCATTGCAGCCTAGGTGGCAATGACGTTTCATTCTCCTGCTGCCTCCTGGGATACCAACGTCACATATCTCTTGAGGCTGCAGGAGAATCCATTCATGGAAATGGACCCAACGCAGATCTCACACATGCACAAACAGAGATCTGGAGCCAGGTCTATTTACATATTGTTCTCTGAATGGAGGATAGTAACACCTCCTAGGATATGTGACTGGTATCCTCTATTCATAGAACATTATGCCAATAGACCCAACACCAGATCTCTGCCTGTCTGTGGGGGACAGCTGAAGTACTAGGAAGAGAAAGCCAACTCCCCGTGATGTCTCCAAAGGAAGCGTGGGACAGAACCTTGAGGGGGGACAGCAGGACGAGAGGAGAAGATGACAGTATAGATCCAATAGCCTTGCAAGTATGATTACTGCATGAAAAGTGCAACAAAGGTAAGTGGAGGGGAAGGAGGTCAGTTGAGAGGGTGAAATTCCTCTTATGGACACAGATGTATACAGATGATAATCTGTATATATCTGCACGCCTATAAGAATACATTACTGTCTGTTTTCCATCCACAAACTGGGATAAAAAATGGACAGGTGGAATACCCGTGTGAAAGGTCTTTTGAGTTGCAACTGTTTAATGGTTATCTTGTAAATCTAGGTGGAGGGGGTTAATATCTGAACGATAACCAGAGCAACACAGTGGTTAGCACTTTTGCCATGCAGCACTGGAGTTGGTTTGAATCGAGGTTCAGCCTGGACACTATCTGCATGGGGTTTGCATGTTCTCCCTGTCCTTGCGTGGGTTTCCCCCAGGTACTCCTGATTCCTCCTACACTCTATGGACATGATGATAGGTTAATTGGCCCTAGTATACATTAGATAGACACTTTAGACTGTATGCTACTTAAGGGCATGGACAGTTGTAAATTAATAATATGTAAAGTGCTGTATAAAAATTGTCGACACTATATAAATACCTGTAATAAATAAAACCAGCAAAGTAAAGCTGGGCATACACCTATAGATCTCAAAACACCTGAACAATGCCTGCATCCAATCAGATTGTTCAGGTATTTTGACAGCCAGTGGGGCCGCCTAGCAAGCTACTGAAGCTTGGCCCAGTGGGAGATTCCTCCATCCCCACAGTTTAGCATAGATGGAGGAATCTGTTGCACTTTTTCCATCTGACCATAGAAAATCTGCAGAATTCTATAGGTGTATGTCCAGTTGAAGACATCACTGCTGAGCAATTACAGAAAGAGGTTGTGAGGTGTTCAGCACTTGTCCAATCTGTCCGGTGTGGCCGCATCCCAACGGTCTACTCTACAATCTATATAGACAGACGCTTATTTCTGATGTTATAAGTAACAGATTTGCCTTTTTATGCTTGTCCTAAGCTTCTTAAACTGAATGTCTAGCCATAACTTTTAATGTTTGGATAGAGTAGGGAAGGGTTACAATCCCTTCCAGTTTATTTTTTTCTGTCTGTGTCCCCTTGGGTAGATTTATCTCCCTTTCCTAGACGGGCAACAGAAAGTGATAGGAAATGTCTACAAAGTAAAGAGAACCTCCCATTTGGACAGTTTTAACAGGTGTATCCCTTGGAGGATTTGCCCTCACCTCTTGTGTCGATGAAAGCTGTAAAATATTTGATTTGCAATTACTTTCTGTCTCAGTGACAGTGGCGACCAGAACAAATGGATAGAATGAATCTATGACGGTGACAGGCAACAATAATTTTAAAAAAAAGGTTACCCATTGGAAGATTTCCCCTCCATTCCTGTTCTCTCAGTGACAACAATCACCAGCACAGCTAGAATGGGTGAATGTTCCTAAGGCTGGGCACACACCTTACAACCATCGCAAGACTTTTGTCTTGCGATGGTTGTAAGGTACTTAAAAAAACGTACGATCTGCCTATCTTGCATAGGCAGATCGTACTTGCGATGATTGCAAGCCACGCCCCCTGAGGGGCGGGCTTACGATGACCGCAATGCCGAACGGGCAGTGTGCGCTTGCGCACACCGGCCCGTCCGGCTTTTATCTTACGAACATGCTACAGACCCGCCGAACATCGTACGATGCTCGGCGGGTTTTGAAACATGTCCGTAAGTTTAAAGTCGTGCGACCTTACAGTAGTAGAGGTTGCACGGCTTCCACACACCTTACGATAATCGTACGATCGTGGGATTTCCCGCGATTATCGTACGATTATCGTAAGGTGTGTGGGGACCTTAACAAGGAAAAGATAGAATCCCTAACCTGTTTTTGCTCTCTGACCTCCTGAGGGAGATTTATACCTTCTTCTTGTGTGTTCACTGGAAGAGGAAGTGGAAAGCAATAAAACATGTTAGTATTATTGTGGGTAATGGTTGGAACATTTTATTGCTGTGTCCACATTTAAGAGTTTGCCCCTCACTTCCTAATCAACTGGACGTTTTTCAAGGACTCTCTTAAATGAGGACGTGGTAATGAGAAAAAAAAACGTATACTAATAAAAAATGTTTACTTTTAGTGGCTTATTTGGAGAGATGAACCTTATTTAGTGTGTTGGTGACAAGACAACTAGTGAGGGAAACGCTCCCTAATGGGGCCACAGGACAGCAAATAAAACCTGACAGAAGTTGTAACATTCTAATAAAACAATTAAAGAAAAAAAAAACTTTATTGCTTTCAGTGTCTTTTCAAGCTATGGAAACGCTTCCTACTGGGGCCATGGGACAGAGGTGCTAACCCTTCAATAAACTTTTTAAAACAAATTTAAAAAAGTTTTAAATGGAGTTGGGATTTTTTTGGTCATTTTGCCTCTTTAGTGCAAAGTGACTGGTTCTCTTAAATGCTCACCCCCACTTGCTGCTTTGTCACCTGTCAGAACCCTTGGAAATACCCAGTGCTGCCCTGACCTTCTCCCCGCCTTCCCAGGAAGCAATTTGTGGGGCTGAAAGGCCAAATGGAGCACTGAGAAGGTTAGTAACAGTGGATCAGGGGGAGAGCTTTCAAAATAACCTGTCACTTCACTAAGTCCCTGTTCACACCTCGGCATTTTGACGCTAAAAGATAAGCGAGACAAAACTCTCAGCACAAGAAATCTCATTCATTTCTTTGGCCCCTGTTCACACCTGAGAGTTTTGTCGCAAGCTGTAAAACGCAGAACGCTGGAAAAGATACATGAGCTTCTTTCAGGCAGATTACAGCACGTTTGGCCGCATAGACTTCAATGGAAGCACATTAAAATGCGCAACACAAGCATTTTGCTAATTTTTACTCATTCACAGCAATGCATTTTGATCTGCTCAAGAAAACACGTGTCTTTGCCTATGCGCGTGTAACGTACGTAAAAATGTGCAAATTGCACAAACCATGCGAGGGGAAAACGTGCATAAAATTGCCCATTTTACACGTGGAAATGCTGATGCCTAGGTGTGAATGGAGACTTACAGATTCCTTTTAAGTTTTTTTTCTTTTCTTTATTTAACAGAGAAACCTTTTTTGCTTATTCTTGTGAAAATATAAAAGAGGGGTTCCGAATAATACCCACAGTTGGCTCGTAGTATTAGAAACATTTCCACAACAAATCATATTACCCGAGGAAGCATTTACACTCAGACTGTGAGAATGACTAGCAGTAACAAAGATGTACTGAATTGCATTGAACCAATAACTACTAGGCCTTTACTGTTTGTATCATTGGTTGTCAACGTACAAGCTATAGAGGGCCTCATCTGTGGCCCCTGACATCAACAAAGGGCCACACATAATGTTCGGTATGTGTAATGCTGAAGAGGACTGTCAGAGACTGTAGACATACTAGAGGAAATGATGGTCAGACTGTGGACATGTTATAGGTTAGGTTGGAGACTGAGGACATTTTTACATGGGATTAGTAGAGATCACTGCTAGAATATCTTTACAAAGCAATGCTTCTAATCCCATTACAGACTGCTTAGGTCCGAGGGCAGCATAACAAACACCAAAGAGCCACATGTGGAGCTTGGCCCACAGGTTGGGCACCAAGTCATCTGCAAAATGTTAAGGATGTCAAATATAGTGTATCTATAGCCAACATTTTTTTTAATTTTGGATAGAATGTAGAAAGGTTGGAATTCCTGTCAGGTTTTTACTGCTATCCAGGGCTCTGTTCGAGAGATTTGAGTCCTGGGGGCAATGTTTTACCAGACAGGAAGTGAGGAAAAAATCTGCAACAGGTAAACATACCTCCCAACTTTCTGAGATGAGAAAGAGGGACACATTTTTAGCACAAAGTATGAACACAAAAATGTATTATT